GAGGCATATAGGCTATGCCATTATACCTGAAAAATATGACTGATAAAAAGTAAATTTATTACTAAAAACCTTTTTTGTGCCGAAAAACTAAATATTACTTTCATACTTACTTATAAAGTTTTTTACTGAATTGTCAAGATAAATTTCGGAACTCACAATAATTAAATAAAATATTAGTAAACACTGAACAGTTTGGTGAAAACTTGTAAAACTTTTGGCGGGATGAGAATTGTTTGTATTATACGGATATTTAAGATTGCCATACGTTGATTATAGCCATCGTATAAATGAAAGGTTGTTTTTAAATATGTCGGTTAATACTGTGGATAAAAGAGTTCTTTATAGTGTCTTGATAAGTTGTAACGAAAAATAAAATTCATTAATATACTAAGTTTTTCGTTATATTATTATAATATTTTATGTTTAAACAATGTTTAGCCACTAAAATTTTATTTAAAAGAAATATATGTATTGTTTAATATTATATATTCAAGTTACGGTAAAAACCGGAATTTGACATTATAAGAAATCCAATAACGCCATTCACTCCAATCGATCACGAAAATTGTCTTTGGAAACGAACATTCGTTGGTGTATACGAAAATGATAAAAAGTAGCGTTCCATGCGAAATTTCGTTTTAATTTCGTTCGTAAACAAAATTTCGTTTTCGAGAAAGCGAGTACATAATACAAACGATTCTCATCCCGCCAAAAGTTTTACAAGTTTTCACCAAACTGTTCAGTGTTTACTAATATTTTATTTATTTATTGTGAGTTCCGAAATTTATCTTGACAATTCAGTAAAAAACTTTATAAGTAAGTATGAAACTAATATTTAGTTTTTCGGCACAAAAAAAGGTTTTTAGTAATAAATTTACTTTTTATCAGGCATATTTTTCAGGTATAATGGCATAGCCTATATGCCTCGTAAAATCTGTAATATTAATGACATAATTCTTTAGGTATTTATTCACAATTCATACATAAAGCCAAAATAAAGAATAAACTATTAGGAACTCACTGTCTCTTAATAAGATTCCTTTCATATTGGTTTTGAGGGAATAATATATTTTCTTATAATACCTATCTGGTGAATTGAGGACAGTCCTAACCTCCTAACACCGTGAAACTGTTTGTTGGGCCATAGGCCCATCCATGTTTTGAGATACGAATCTTTGGTAACTACCTCGGGCATAAAAATTCAACGCTGTAAGAATCATAAAAATATGAAATGCATAATGGTAGGCATGCAATTTATTTTATCAAGAATTACAATAAAATATCTTCCAAGTTTAATTGTGGACTCGATGGCATGAGATCTTGCCTGTGGACGCAGTAAAGGTATAATCTCTTGGCATAGTTCTTGAAATAATTCACAACTGAGTCTGTAAATAGTTACAAACTCAGTGTCGAGAATATTTCTTATATTAAGGCTATTTCGAAGCCGTTCGTTGAATATTCGGAACGAACGTAATTGTGGTAGGAAACGTCCGAAATTTCGAACGATATTTCGTTTTTCGGTGAATTAGAGTAGGCTTCCAGATCTCAATTACAAACATGAAGTGGTGTGGAAAAATGCCATCGGTTTCTTATTTTTGCACTTGTTGGGTCTGTGGGGGATAGTTTTAATGCTTACTGGAGGTGTACAACTTAAAACTTTATTATATAGTGAGTATCGTAAAGTCTATTTTTGAAGTTTAAATGCTACATTTAATTCATAGTTTCATTAAAGCAGAAGTGACACATTTCTATGAATTTCAACAAAACTTTTGATATATTTTAGGTTGGATCGTACTATATATGCATACCGAAGGAATCACAATAGGAGCGCATAGATTGTATACACATAGATGTTTTAAAGCCACGCCCATATACCCTTACTATCTCCTTAGAGATTAACCCGGAAAAACCATTTTAGAGATTGATCATCTTTAACAAGTACCAAGTCTCCTTTTACTAAACCACTTGACTCTCTGTTGAAGAGTATTTAAGAAATCGTTGCTCCACTTCTTCCAAAATAATTGTGAACAATTTTGTAAATATTGCCACCGTGACAAAAAACTAATAGAAACGTCCTTTAAATTATATTCTGTTACAGCATTCAGAGACTTACCTATAAGAAAATGACCCGCAGTTAAAACATTAAAATCACTTGGATTATCACTGGCAGGCAAAGCACATAGCGGTCGCGAATTCATTATAGCTTCGATCTTACAAAATACTGTAGCAAGCTCTTCGAAAGTTAAGGCTTTATCCCCTACTGCTTGCATAAGATGATACTTGGCAGATTTTATACGTGCTTTCCAAAGTCCACTAGGAGGATTAAATACCCAATAAATTTGACGCTGAGCACAACCGTTCATTAAATCATTCTGTTCATGCTTACTTGACAAAAATAGCTGAATTTCATTTAAACGCTTACTAGCAGCAATAAAATTTGTCCCGCAGTCAGAATACAAACAAGCGCACAAACCACGACGACTAACAAATCTATCTAACTCTAAAAATGAAGGTAATACTTCCAAATGAACAGCTTTTGTAGAAAAGCACACGAACAGTGCCAAATAAGCTTTACTAAGTCCGTTAAAGCCGTAATGCGTGTTACAATTACGCGAGATAAAACTTTACATATATATTGCATTAATTTCCCTAACAAAACTGCAGCCATTAGTTCAGTAACAATATTTCTCTTAATATCATTAATATCATTAAGAGAAATATTGTTATTCGACTTAGCCGATGTGTCAAATACAACGCGTAACGGAGTTTACATACTGCTCGGTCGCAATAAACTATAGTGCGGTATAAAATATTCACTCGATTCAGTACTCGTATATAATTCCATATGATCAATTTGCTCGTATTCTAACATAAAATCATTATAAGCTTGTTGTAGAACAGGAGAACGAGCAAGTTCAAGTTCGGTATTTAATAATCGCCGCTCGGCGATCGCACGGGAATCATATAACGACCGCACGATTCGCGAGTATGTTCTTTAGTGAAAATCTCTTCTGCCAACTGATCGAGAGGGTTAGATACAGGATTACTCGTCAATTCTTCTATTTCCCAAAATTCTCTTAAAGTTTTATCTAAATTATCGTCTTTGACCGATAAATTAAAGTTTTCTGAAGAAAACTTATTTTCGTACTATAATTTGCCACTTACGAAAAACCGGTTTCAATAATATTTGGAATGTTAGAGTGAATATTAATCGGTTTATTATTTATTAATTCCGACACAATATCGTTCCCCAACAAAATATCTATTGAAGACTTTACGTAAAATTGAGGATCTGCTAATACATAATGTTGATATTTACTTACTACATCACACGAAAAATTGATATTTAGCATATCTGAAGATACCTTTGAAACTATTACCATATCAACAGAAAAAATTGGAACGTTCGATTTGCACGGTTTTATTTCACACGTAACCATACCTAAATTCTTTACTACTCCACGACTAAGACCAGACACGGAAAACGGATACTTTTTTCTACGCAAGCTCAAACGTTAAGCACAATCTAATGTAATAAAAGAACTTTGTGCGCCCGAATCCAAAACTGCACGGCAGTTCAGTGACTGACCGCTGATATCAATGATATCTATCTATACGAAATGACCCTAGCACCACACCATATTGAACGTTAGTTTCATTCACGGAATGAAGATTCTCGTTCGCAGCAGCAAGCTCAGCACTCACGGAGTGTGATAAAGAAGTACTGCTCACGAGCATGTTCGCACGAGATGGCTGCGCCGTCGACACGGTCGATGACGCACCGCCTCCCAAGTCTTGGTGCAATAGATAGTGATGAGGTGACAAACAAACACCGCAAGTTAAATTGCTTTTACAATTTTTCAAATTATGACAGCTTTTTCAACGCGATGGGGAAATATATATCTGTAGTTCGCCTAATAGTGCAAGGAAAGGTGAAAAGAACGAGACCATCGGTGACCGAGACGAGGTCTCCGATGGTCTCGTTCTTTTCCCGAAACCGTCCGAAACGAGTAGCGACGTATCGTGATGCATGTCACGAACTATAGGATAAATGAGAGCTCAATTAAATAATTTCATATATGGGTTGCGACCAGTTGTGCTATAGAATATGTTCCTTTCCCTAACAAAACATACACATGTTGAGGCAAAGATAGGAATTAAAATAATAATTTTGATGGCTCAACATGAGCTTAAAATACCGCAACTGACAACTGTTGCCCTCAAAATGCCTCTCAACATAATGAGAGAGGGTCTTATATGTATACCCGAATTTGAGTTTAGAATTTTATCAATTTCAATCCATTTAAAAATCTACCAAAACTACATAACACAAATCTTAGACAGATATAAAATATTTATATATACATTTATTTTTACTAAAACTTGACTTTTTAATAATACATTTTGCCAAAAAATTATTCAATTCTAATTTTATTCTGCGCAGTCTCAAAATCCCGGACCGTCATGACTTTGAAACTGTTTCTGCAGGGGCGTAGCTACCGCCGTATCTGCCGTATCAGTTATATGGGGCTCCTGGGCGAGGGGGGCCCCCAACGAGCGTAAGTAAAAATTGATAAAAAAATCCCAAGTTTCTTTTTATTTCAGAAATGAAAGCATGCTTTTTAAAATTGGCAACACCATACGTTGGTTTTCGCGAACTCCGGGATTTCTCCGTTTAAGTCATTTACTTCAACGGAGGAATCTCAAAATAATCGATGTACATACGATTAATTCGCACAGTTTATAGTAATAAAGTCATTTTATCAAACATTTATATTCCTTTTGTGAGAAATCTGTACCCTTCATAAGGGCCCCAAACAAATTTTTATACGGGGCCCCGCCAAGGCATGCTACGCCACTGCTGAAATCATAAATTAGTAATAGCGACAGTTTCAACAAAGTTCATGTTCATACGCATTTACTTTTCAACAATGTAATGAAAACAACAATAACTTCACAAATCGATGGCAGTAACATCAGTGTTGGCCTCTCGGCAGTACGATTTAATCGCAATGACAGTTAACGTACAATCTCATAGATTTGTAGGTAATGAGAACTTAATGAAAAATTCGGACTCAACACTAATTATCGGAACCGATTTCACCTACAAGCATAAACTGGTGTGGAAAAATGCCATCGGTTATTTGATTTTGCATTTATTAGGGTTATGGGGTTTGTTTTTGTACTTTACTGGCGGTGTAAATTTAAAAACATTAGCATATGGTGAGTATCATGCACTTAATATTGTTTTTATAGTGTAAAACGACGTTGAACCTAATTATGAAACTAAACTGCATTAAAAGACTACCAATGATATTCTTGTTATTTATCTAAGTTTTTAATGATTTTGAGCTCTAGTGTAATAAAGTTTAAAACCAAGTAGAGAAAATCGACAAATTTATATAACCTGATGTACTGTTGACTCTACTTGAACTTTTCTTTACAATCATTTTTAATAAAGCTTCATACCCTTATGCCACGATCACTTGCGGATAATGCGTGATTTTTTTTTCATTATAATTTTTTTTTTTAATTAATATTATGTATTTTTCAGCTTTCTTCCTGACATATTTCATTGGTCTGGGTATCACAATAGGAGCGCACAGATTGTATACACATAGATGTTTTAAGGCCACGCCTTTAATTAGAGCATTTTTGTTATTACTACAAACGGCTTCAGGGCAGGTAAACGGCAACTTATGTATGTAACTTTCACAACTTTACTGTCCATATGTCAAATACTCGAAATCAGTATAAATAAGAATCTTTATATATATACAAATTAAATGACGTTTTCCACCCTTTTAGTAGTAATTTCAATATGTTCTGCCTTTTTTGTGTCACATTATCTCCAGAACTATAGCTTGTATCAAAATGTGAATAAGTTCTGTCTAAATCTCAGATACAAAAACTATGTCCACATAGAGTATTTTTTTCTCATATAGTTAGATGCACGAAGAAAAAGAATATAAATAACTAGACTTGTACCAGTCTTCACATGACACTGTGACGTCCTCACTCTGCGCTGATCATTCTTCTCTCGAATCCGAGAAACCATCATATGTGAACCGCGAACTCTAGACAAAGTAAAATCTAGATACATGCTGAGTCCAAGTTTCTACAGCCCGTAACCTGGCCTTATACTCTCAAAACGAAGTATGTCTTGCCTCACGATCATCTTGAGATTGTGAATTAACTCATCTCAATGTACATTCTGAGGTGAGCTCTATTTAATATGATTGATCATACAGACTTCTGTGCCTGAGATCATCTTACATTCTGAAAACTGTCTTCAAATATCGACATACAAATCATTATATTTGATAAAAGTTTGCAGTATGACTGCAAATTGACATGGATTTTTTTTTTAAACGCTAATGTTTATAAATTTTACAAATTATTATTTTATAGGCTATATATATACCACAAAATTAAAAAATGTTATGTTAAAGCAATCTTGTTGAATAATTTTAATTTAATTTTTATTCATTGCATTACGTACATGTGACTTAGAAGCTAAATACATAAATTTCAATTAATAATATTCACGTGCACCTTGATAGGCATGGCAATATAGAAAGATGGAAAGAAGAGGGTCAGATATTCCATTTTATCTAAAACTTTTCATTCAAATATTCATTCATTGTATAATAGCATTTATTTAATAGGATATCCTTTAGCATTTTTATAAATCGAGTATGTTGTTTCGTTCTTTAGGTATTCAGGTAATTTATTATAAATTTTAATTGACATTTTATAGTTCCGGAACTGTTTAAAGTCAACTTAGAAGGTACTTGGATTAAGTTATTTTTATAGCGTGATGTATGATGACAAGGAACATCTCCTTTTTTAGAATACATGTTAGGATGCTAGCGAACAAATTTACAAATTTATAATATGTAAATACGCAGTAGGGTAAGTATATTTAAATTTCTAAAATGTGGTTTGCAACTATCAGTTTGTTCAAAATACCTTGGATATTTTCACTATTTCTTTTTTGTCATTATAAATATAGCATAGATAGATAGAAAAGATGTGGGCATGTGCATATCTTGTATTGTATCGTAACTATGTAGGTTACCTGCAGTTCTTGATCTAGGTATTGTATTTCAACAAATTTCAGAACTCCATGTTCATTTGGTGCCGTGACCATAGACTCCATCATCGTTATTCTGACACTGATGCTGACCCGCACAACTCAAAAAGAGGTTTCTTCTTCTCTCACGTTGGTTGGCTAATGTGCAAAAAGCATCCTTATGTCATTGAATTCGGAAAAAAAATCAATATATCTGATCTTCAAGCTGATTGGATGGTCATGTTTCAAAAGAAGTAAGTAAACATTAATGACCCTCGAAATGCCTTCTTGAAATTACGTAACGTCGAATTTTGAAACACAATTTCATTATAACAATATTTATTTATAATAAAAACTATTCTAAATAAAAAATGGAATAAATATGATTTGGTTAAATTGCATGCATATATTTTTCATGTTTGTGGTTAATTTTAGATACTACTCTTATCTTTACATTTTAATTGCGATACTGCTCCCTGTTTGGATTGATGTCTATTTTTTTGGGGAGCCATGGGTGAAGGCATTTCTTGTACTTTACTGTGCTCGATATGTGGTAACGCTTAATTATACGTGGCTCGTCAATAGCGCTGCCCATATTTACGGAACGAGGCCTTATGACAAGTAAGTTGATATCAAAAACTTAAACTTTCTGACAAAAAATTTTATTTAGCATTCAAATATATAAAAATTTTAACAATTATGTTATGAAAGACTAATGTTATAGTATGAATGTTGTACTATAAGTCCATTATTTCCATCCACAGATTTTTTTCCATCCACAAAGATAACAACTTATTAGACATCGGTACTAAAGAATATTACTAATATTTATGAATGCGAAAGTTTGTTATTGTGTTTGTTAGCCTTTCACGCAAAAACTACAAAACAGATTTGATGAAATTTGGTACATATTTCTCAGCCTAGATTAACCTAGATGGACCCCACTTAGTACCCCAGCTAGTATGTCAATAAAATAACCAAGAAATCAAAAATTTTACAGAAATCAACAACCTGTGGAATCTTGGATTGTCTCATTTTTTACTTCGGGAGAAGGCTGGCACAATTACCATCATGCTTTTCCTTGGGACTATAAAGCGGCGGAACTCTCTACTCATCTAAATCCAACCGCCCGAATCATAGAATTCTTGGCAAGCATCGGAATGATCTACGACTTGAAATCGGCACCTCCTGACATGGTAATAAACTTCATTTATATATATTTTTTAAGGAATCGTGGTTTTATCTAAGTTTATGTTAAAAGTTTCTTCATAACGCTTTAAGAAACATATTATTTGCTTATTTTAAATCGTTAATTAAGAATTGACAGGTGTTGCTTACAGGCACATTCTGTAGGATTTGTAGATAATTTTCTAATTTTTTCAATATATCTATCATTTTTTCAAAATATTCAATAATAATATATAAGTGCTTTTGATTGCGTACGTCTATATTGTTAACAATAGTAGGTATTCCGAAATTATTTACTTCAAACATTGCTAGGCCCCTGGATTATAAACAATGAAAATTGAAAGTTTAAAGATAAAAATCATTTCAATTAGTTGTGCCTCAAGGCTCGATACTAGGGCCATTGTTGTTCTTCATTGATGTCAAAAACGTATTTTTCGCTCGTAAAAAGACTAATATTTTCTTATGTCAATATGATACTACTACTACATCAAGTATATAATAAAAATATTAAAACAGAAATAACAAAAATGTTACGGAAAGGGACAAGGTCTTTCTTCAATGTGGTAGCCATACACGACACTATAGTTCTGCAAGTTTTGACTTATGCAAATATGCAGTAACGTGTGTTGTAAAAATTATTACACAAAGTTCTAAAATATCATCTCAATTATATTTTTATAGAACTTTGTGTAATAATCTTACTTGCACGAGTGCATCGTTACGTATATGGCTACCATTAGATAATGGTTATTAATTATTAAATCTATTGTGTAATATTATATTATTAAATATTATAATACCGCAAAATATTTCTTAATCACTATTAAATCGATTTCATTTAGAAGAAAAGGTAAAGATTGTTGTTGTCGTAACTCAAAGATATTATCTTTGAAAATCTTCACTAAGTTCAAATCAAGGTGTTTTACGTTATTGGATCAAATTCTTAAAACTCTTTATTTTAAAACTGTGACATGATAAAAGTAATATTTAGAATCGATAGCCGAAATTTCTGTTGTTTGTACAAAATATAGATAAATTAAATGTGTTTTCGCCAAGAATCTGTGTTACTCACTCCCTTGATAATTTCTGAAAGTCCCTGATTAGATAAATATTTATTTGTAGACGAAGAATAGAATCAAGAGAACTGGAAATTATTTAAATTATTCAGTTCCTTTGAGTTAAGATAAATATTTATTTGTAGGTGAAGAATAGAATCATGAGAACTGGAGATGGTACTCACTACGAGCTTGGCAACGAGGAAGCTAAAGCCGCTGTCAAGGTCTCCTATCCTCCTTTGCATCCTATGAACCCTACTTACACTGTAACATATGAAGATCCGGTGATATCTCTCAAAGTGGAACGTGACACGTCAAAAATTATTAGCACAAATTAAGCAACAAAAACGCAAAAATGTGTGGACATCGTAAGATTGGCATTTTCATTGGCCTTCCCTTAGGTCTCTTTAACAATTGGAATATTTTAAGTCACAATTTCAGAAAATTTCCGCCCCAATGGCCATCGGTTCTTCTTATTATGTGTCTCTTCTACTGGTACTACTTATAAATCGCATAATGTAAGTTTCTTTAGTTTCTTATACGATATATACTATATACGATAACTTAGTAATTTTCTAATTCGATCACGCAAAGAGCATTTTCTACATTGCCTCGGTATATTTATAAAACTATAGTTTTAAATAACCACGTTTAGTTTTTGTGGTTCATTACTGATAACACTTTCGTCACTAAGGTAATTCAGCGAAGATGAGTTTATTTAATTGAACCTCTGTGCTATGATAGCGCTGAGCTCAACATCGAGTTCGAGGCTCATTTCTGCACTGCACTGACCGACTATTTTTTCAAATGTAAGTATTTTCAAAACTCCTTTGAAAAGTGTGTGTTTCCTATACTCTCTTACTGAGTATGAAAGATAATTCTATACAATTCAGTAAAATAGATTTAAAAAAACAATGTTCATAGAAAAAACCTATTTCAACTTTTAAAATATATACATTTCAAAAGCAGAAATAGGACTTTATGTTAAGATATGTTTGTATGACAACAATTATTTCCAATATTTTGTATTGTTATTGTAATGTCCGAGAAGCGCCTGATGAATATGCACAATCAAGTTTTCATTGTTGTCGGTAATTTATGCTAATAATTTTAGTAATAAGTTTTTTTTTAAGTAAAACTCTTAATGTATTTTCCAATCCCGAAGTCAGCAATGTCAACATATTGAAAGATATTGAAGAATATTAAACACGTATTTTGTTATTTTTGGCATATTGCATGACGTCACGTCACACCTTTGTACATTTTCTGAATAGTTGTGACATAGCGAGCCCACACTCATAAATTTGAATACCTATTTCTTGTTAAATTGAAGCTATAAAAATATGTATTTATTATCTAAGTTCTTTTTTTTCTATTATTCATTTTTCTATTATCTAAGTTCTTTTTTTATTAAGGTATCGCTATTATGGTATAAGTATAGAAATATTAAATAAATAGCCTAGATTGTAAGCAATAGAAAATTTTGTATAGGTATTGTAGTATTTCAATAAAAATTTTGACGTATTTTTAAACAACATATTTTTTTAAAACATTAAAACATATTTTTATCAAAAAGTCAATAAATACACTTTATATGATAATAATAATAATTTTTTTTAATCTTTCAAAACAATTGAGATGTATTAAACGAAATGGTGTCTGCAATTTTTCGACAGGCTTCGGTAATGCAACTTTAAAAATTACACAATTCCACAAATCGCTACTATCATTGCTATACCTTTGAAAGGGAATGCAAGAGATTTTAAAATTAAACAATTAACCCTTTTTACAATGTTATATTTTGACGAATTCAATATTCCTTCTTAGAAGCACTGGCAGTCATTTCGAACATGACTATGTATCCATCCGTAGTGTGCATTTATTCTCGTATAAAGGGGCGGAGTGATTCTCTGACATGACGCCACAGAGAATACGCCGACAAGGCGAAATGGTGTCCCCGACCTCCGACGGGACGTCACCGGTGCACCAATATCAGCCTATAAAATAAATATAAATAATTTGTTTATTTATTCATTTATTTTATTGCATTCCACAATGTAGTATTTGGATGTTTACAAAAAAAACAAAAGTATCATTATGGACCCCGTCAGGCACAGAAATCTGGAGAGAGGGGAAGACACCGCTTTGAAGTATTGGTAATAACTATTTCCTTTCTTTTGTAAACCAAATACTTTATGTTTTGAAAACTTACCCATTTAGTAGATATTAAAATTAAAATACAAAAGTAGAATATTCTATTTTAATTAGATTGTATTTAAAGTTTTCCATTTAGGTATTCTTGTATGGTATAATATTTCTTTTTAGTTAATAAATTCTTTATTTCTTTTATGTAATCTTTTTCTTTATTTAAGTTTTTTATGGAGTTTGGTAGAATATTGTATATTTTTATTGACATTGCCAGTGGGCCGGTAGAGTGTAATTTTAAGCGGGAGGTCGCTATGGTTAGTTTATTCCGATTGCGTAAATTATAAGTAGTTGTTTCTTCACGTTTTCTATAAAATTCCGGGTATTAGTACAAATTTACATTCATCTAATATATATGTATATGCGGTGTAATGTAAGAATTCGATATTTGTAAAAGTTTGGTTTACAGCTGTCTGTATTTTGTAGGTTAAAGATGATGCGAATCAGTTTTTCTGCAATGTAAATAAAGATAAAATGTCTGTGCTGTTTCGCGAAATCACGACTACTAAAATCGAATGAAAAAAGAAAAAAATGAAACAAGTTGTAATATCATCATCATCATCAGCCTTTTTACGTCCCCACTGCAGGGGCTCATGCCTTCCTTATGGATGATTAAGGAGGATGGGCCATGACCCTCCACGCTGGCCCAATGCGGATTGGAGGGTATTAACGACTACAAATGCAGCCGGGACTAACGGCTTAACGTACCTAGCGAAGCACGGAATAGCTCGAGATAGTAATTTTTTGGTCACCCATCCCGTGACCGACCCTTGCGAAAGTTGGTTAACGACAACGATCGCGGGCCGCGGCGCTTATCCACTACGATTTGTAGCTCGGTGGAGCTACAAGTTATATTATGGCGTAGCTAAACAAAACTCTCATTGCAGCGAAGTACCGTTCTATGAAACATTTGTAATCTACGTGGTCTTCGACTGCAAATAGCCGAAACAAACATTGGTACTGAGACGGGTGGTACTCGATGAATTTAGCCGAGCAGAATCTCACACACTTTTTGACGTCTGGAAGGCAGGCACGACAGACGGCTAGGCAGAGATAGTGCATAATGCATTTTCCCTAGGTCAAAAATTTTTTTTTGTGGGTAAAGTAAATTTTAACCAGCTAGCATAACATGACGAACTGGATAGACTGGAGATAATGCATAGGTTTATCTCACTCGCGTGCTGCTCAGTGGGCTTGGTTACAACTTACAGTGGGAGACGGTTATTTTCAAGAAGTTTTAATTAAGAACGTACTTTACAAACAACATTCTTCGAACCTAAGGGTCCAAGACAGCCCTTGTCTGCAGTCATCAGCTCGGGCTCATCAGATGCTGCGAGACAGGAACGTTTAGGCAACATCGGCAGACTGGTGACACGTGGTGTGCAAGTGGAGTTTCCAGAATATTCCGCCCAGGACACAGTCCAAGCGACACGACCGCGCTCCTCTGACCCTGAAATCCCATTGAGAGTCATATTTTGATGAAAAAAATGTCATATTTTGATGAATTTTTAGTAGAGTACAACAAAATGCTTGCCAATTAATTTTCAGCATTTTTTACACGTATTCGGTACGATCAAAGAACGGACTTCAATCTTCAATGGACTCAGATAGCTCCTAATAGTACATTATGTATAAAGTTATACATACCAATTAGGTTGGGGAAAAGTCTTTTCGCATATAGTATACATAAACTTGTAATAAAATCTTTCTTACCATTACCTTACCATTTATATCAGGCTAGTTTTGGTATCATTAAAAAGCTTTCAAATGTATTAATTTCATTTGTTTTTCTTACTGTCAAAGTGAGTGAATTTAATGAGGAAATTCGACACAATTTAAAATTTTATTACAAATAAAAATTGCATCGCTAGCCGTGAAAAAAAATCGTAACGTTGTGGACCTAGTCTTGTTTCTGTGAGAGTGGCACAAATTTGGTTTAGGCGTTTTCAGTTTGGAAATTTTGATGTCACAGATGCTCGTCATATCAGTAGTTAAAACATAGCTGAAGAACTAAGTATTGACCATAAAACAGTTTTGGTGCTTTTGAAAAAGGCTTGGTACACAAAAAAGTTGGATATTTGGATACCTCACGGGCTCATTGAAAGAAACCCAATGAACCGTGTACTCATTTGTGATTCTTTATTACGGCGTTTTGAAACCGAACCATTTTTGAAGAAGCGGAGAGAGAATGAATCCATAGAGAAGGCCTGAGCCTCAGCAGTGAGGACATTAATAAGCCGGTGATGATGTATTAAGATTTATTTCATTAGTATATTAATATTTCTTAGTTACCGTAAAAAGGCATGCAAACTGGAGACACAAAGTCATTAAAAACAACTTTATGCCTCAGTCTCAGTAAAGCTATATCGTTATCGCCATTTGTTGGAGAGTATCCTGGATGGATGGAGAGTGAAGATACGCTGTTGACCAGCGCTGTATCTCCCTCCCCACAGCGATCGTGAGCTCCCAATGTTACACTCAAATTGCCGGCTGAATAACTAAAAACATATCATTTATATTAGCGTAATAGACCTGAAAAGCAAAAAAGAACAAAAATTAAATATCTAATATAAAATCACTCTCTATTTTCCCGCGACTCGGTCCATATAAAAGTATAGCCAATGTCACTAACGTATGATATAGCTTCCTGTGGGTGAAAGACTTTTAATAATCAGTCTTGCAGTTACGGAGCCAAATCAAAGACACGAATAAATCTTCCTTATTTATAATATTAGTATAGATAAATCAAAATAAATACTCTATAAGGTGATTACAAAAATTCATGAATCAAATCAAGGATTTCATAACTAAATAATTCGTGACATTTACCCATAAACAAGTGAAGCGGCTGTGATGACATGCCTATCTGATATCAAAGATCCAAGGGCGGTTTGATAGCCAGCATTAATTATCGCCAGCCATGGAAATTGGTGGGGAGAGATGAACTCCCCTCCTAGAAGGCGGCCTGACCTTATAGTATCAGATACATGCCTTGCGATGCCACAACCTGTTCACATAAATTATCAACTCTTATCCTTACATAATATTGAACGCCGTAGACGAATGGTTCGCACAACGGTTTCAAGGAGTCATCATCTCTGTGGTCCTTGGTTTGATTCCCGGTCAGGTCAATGTAAAAAACTAAGTTTTCTGTATTGCCGTGGGTGTTTTCTTGTTACCTACACTGTTGATTTGCCTACTAAATTTGAAATCTAATATT